ATTGATGCAGTCGGAGGTTGAAGGGAAACGAGCGGTGTCGATTGATGACATAAATTTCAATCTCTTATGCGCTGGCACCAGAGGCCGTTCTCCGCGTGAAATTCGTGCGCAGTGTCAAGTACCCAACACTAGAGGACAGATCTTTCCTCTGATTGGAGACCTGATGACTGACAGCTTAATAGATCATACCATGGTGAGAGGAAGCTTCAACAAAGAAAGGTGTGCGCACCGGTTGCGTGGACTGTTGGATGCCGGCGGTTCTACTTTTATCAAAAGCTGCCTCCTGATTTGTGATAACACGCCATGCCACACGAATCTGGAACGCATATTCCAAGAGGAGTCGTACCGTTCGGGCAGCCTGCACCTTGCTCCATATTCTCCATCATTGAACCAAATTGAAGGCATTTGGAGCATCATAAAAGCATATGTGAAGCAAGCGATGAGACAGATATTTCGAGATGCTTCAGGGTGATCCTGAGGGTGTACTCTGCAAGACCGAGTGGAGAATGCGTTTCCTGGAGCGAATTGTGTCAGAGACGCGAGCCTGTGTAACGTCTCAGCACTGCCAGGACATGATAGATCAAGCGGAGAGGAATTACACCCGCGCAATACATTGTACAGATTTATAAATCTCTCCCACTTTATTGACATAAATGTACATATTTTGAGTTGACGTTATCACTGTTATGCATCGCGAAGCTATTGTTTTGACCTTCAGATATAAACAATAGTGTTCAGGCTAAGTGCTTTCGCAGGGGTTCTCGCATCTTTCCACGTTACACGTTGCCAGAGCCCACCAGAGGTTATACGGATGATTTCTGGAAATCCGAACTGTATTGCTGCTAATGATGAGAGGTCATATGTTGTTACGTACTGTTGGGTCCCTAGTTCATGGAGGGGGAATGGTACGTGCCCCATCGATGATGGAGCAACGCTAATATTCATCTGCTAGCTCTTTATTCCGAGTATTAAGTATTCGCGCCCCTACGAATTAAAGTACTTGTTGCCAAACCTTTCCACATTTCCAACCCTATCACTCACGTATCTTCGTTTGTGACGATTTCTCGTAAACTCAGGGCTTGGTATGTGTCTCTCCGATCGTCAAAATGGACGATCCGTGTGCTTTCAAATTAGACGACACCGCTATTATGCAAGTTGCCACTTTGCTTGCACACGATTTAGATGTGTTTTCTGGTTCTACGTTCCACTAATTTCTGAACTACGCCAACCTTACTTAGTGTCTACTTCCACAATACGATGTTATATCTCCTTTAACACCTAACATTCGTGCATTTTCATCTCCCGAGAGGTACCTTTCTTTTCAACCTCCTCCTCCCATGTACTTCATTCCTGATCTCAACATCGGCATATATGTAAATCAATTAATAGACTATATTTATTAACAGCGAGATTCAGTCCACTAAATGGTGTCTTATCAAGTTATACAGTTTGCTCACGTAAGGCGGTTAATATTGGAAATTGTTTAAGGTGGTTCCCAAATGTGCTTCTACATGTTCCTGCATTAGCAAGACACAGAAGTTGATGTCAAGTTAGGTAATAACGTAGTAAAATCTTCAAGTGAAGTGACACAGCCTTCTGCGCCACCGTCTTCTGTACATCTGCTTCCGTGCGGGGTGGCCCCTCGGAAGTTTTCATCCGCATTTCAACGCCCCATCTTGCTTTGTGCCATCACTACTTTAACTCATTTATACAGTATAGGCACTCGAACTATCCAGCCCGTCTCATTATTTCGCTCTTTCTAGTGTGGCGCTTTCATCACACACCAGTTAGTCAGTGGAAATTTACCATACATTGGTAAATTTACTAGATAGGACGCTTCAGTCTGCCACCTCACGAGATCGACCCGTTCGTGGTTAAGAATGAAAAGTATGGCAAATGGAAATTGCATGAAATAACGACGAGGCGCAATCCGACAGTTTATCTCATTACTGATCGCAAAAAGCAAATAACCGTTGAAGTATTTACAAATAGTGCAACACTTACAAAGATTTACAGATGGATCCATCAGTCACGTGCAATCGACAGTGCCCCATATCGAAATTGATTTCACAGGACTTAACGAGTGTGTTCTCGCTATATTCGGTTTAGAACTCTGGTTTTGCCGTTGACAACTATAGCTCGTCATCGTTGACTTGTTATTTGGAGTCGGAAGACATTCGAGTTCTTTTGGGACGCTTCTTTTCCAAGCTACGGACAACAGAGCATCTAAGCATCTTTCTTTAATCAAAATGTATACGGACTGATAATTAAAAATAAAAAGTGAATATGGTAGATTGCAAAATATCCGCCATGAGCTTTCGTGTCAGAATGAAACAATGCTCCTGGACCCGACGACGTTCTTCCATCTTTACTGAAAGTTGGAGGTGACTCTGTTGACTGGACTCGCTGTCCTATTCAACACTATTTGGGATATTGAAGAGGTGTATTCAGACTATCTGCTGTCAACTGTCGTGTCCATGTTCAAAACGAGTCAACGGACATTTTGCGAAAATCTTAAATCTTGTTTCCATTGCATTCAAACTTCTTCTTCGAGGACCTACTGCTCCTCGTGAAAGCAAGGCTAGCTTCTGCCTTAATCAGGTTTGCATCCGCAAAACGTTTAATCTTCGCCAAGTGTTGGAGCAGATATACGCTTACAGACGACCGACTATGTGCTGGTCTTCCTGGACTTGAAAACCCCCTTCGACTATTGATTATGCCAGCTTGTGGCACTGCCTATCCATGAAATGCTTGTCATCTAACTCCGTTCCGTTCTGAAGTCTCTACCACGACTCCTGAGGCCGTGTATGGGTGTACAGGAAGCTGTGTTGTGATTTCCCCACGACTTGTGGGGTTCGGCAGGGTTATCTTGTATCTCCGTTCCTCTTCAACTTTGTTGTTGAAATGATCATGGATCGCTCAGTTTTTCCGACTCTTGTAGAGTGTAAATTCCTCTAGTTGACCGACTGACAAACCTTGAGTATGCAGACAAAGCTCTTCTTGCATGTAACACAATGTTTATGAAACCATTGCTACACAGACTGACACGTAGCGCTGCACACTTCGGCATTTGTTTTGCACCTTAAATCTACAAGTTGTTGCAGCACTGGACCGATACGCCACCGGTTTCTAATATCAGCGAAAAGTCACTTGAAGTGGTCGACCGATTCACTTATTTTGGTAGCTGTGTCACCTCTTGTGTTCTTATCACTGGAGAAGATATTTCACCCATCGTGCAAGACCCGTGTGGCATTTCAGAGGCTCAATCGTCTATGGAGAAGTTGTACTATCGGCCTGTCGGTGAAAGTTAAGGCAAATAGCGCAGCAATGAAGCCGGTGTTAATGTATAGGTCGGAGACCTGGCCAGTCCGCAGTGAAGACGTTAAGTTCGGAGTATTCATCATTTCGGGTAAGAACATCGGGTCAGCAATGCTGATGTCCGCCAGTTGGTTATTGGTAAGAAGCTTTCTGGCGTCTCATTCGGATGTTTGCGGAGTTTTAACCGCTCATGCTAACTAGGTCATGTCCTCCGTATCCCCCTTGACCGATTTCCTCGGCGTGCATTCTACGCCGTGGCTGCATCAAGTCAGGCGATGCTGCGTGGTGGCCAGTCGTTGATGTGGCATAGGGGCATGAAGAAACTGATTGAAGAACTTGGCCAGGTTGGTACTTGCCGTCTTCGTGGATGATAACCCCACCAGTACTTGGACACTGTCGGATATGGTGCAATCGCATAGTCAGTGGCGTTCCTGCATTCGGCTTCTTGCGCCCAGCTCCCAATTTTCCTTCCATCTCGATTGGTTTCGCTCACCTCTCTTGATTCCGTTTTCTTTGAATTAACTTTGAGTCCAACCACCTTTTCTTCCTGTTGTTAGTTATTGCTATTCTGGTGACGGAAGTCGTATAACTGAATCCACCGCTATTCGGCACCCGGATTATGGTTGTTCGACTGATCTGAACTAAACTGCTGGACAGTTTTTGCTTCTGAATAGAAAGCATATGTTAAGCTTCACTCTTCGAATCCAAATAGGATCAAGTCCAGGAGTGCAGTGGCGTTCTCTGTATATTATCTTTGTCGAACCTCCAACTGCTTTCCGTGATGTGTCTTTGAACTCCATTTAGAGTAGGCCGATCTGCTCTTCTTCGCTATGGTGTGGATCATTGAGCAGCAGTACACATAGGTAGCTTTATAGAGCTGAACATGTGACTCGGTGAGACAGAAATGTTGACATACATATCCCATTGTTCTCGTGGATTTCGATACCTATAAGTCACGTTTCTCAGGAAAGTTAAACATATTTGAATATTGCACACCAAAGCCAAAAACAGCTCCATTGTGACATGTGTGTTCCACGCAGCGTATTATGTGGGTACCTTGCTCCGCGTAGATAACGAATACTATTTAAAGTGATACCGATTCCTCTTCACCATGCACTTTCCAGCATTTGTACACGAACTAGTGTGCTACGATATCACCCAAGCCCAAATACCGGTTGTTCGAACCGGGAGAGTGGTTTTTATGCCCCGCTGCATGTGTACGCCCACACCACAGATAGCCGACGGTGAGATCAGCTCCAATATCATCTGGTTTATTGGACTGGATCAATAACTGATTAAGGGGAGGGAACTGGCATTGGTCCCAAGTTTTCTGGTTCATTTCTTGGCGGATTCCAAAGACGACACTTCCGGGTGCATTACGTGGACATATATCCCTACCGCCGCTTCTTCTACATGTCTGCTCATCTGCTATCTCCTACTGTAGTTTCATCTTACATTTTTAGCACACTACCTTTCGATTTTACATGGATATATATACCTTTTGCCACACACCATGTATTCAAAAAATAAACCATCCGTCATACACGAAATGGTTATGCTTGAACGCTTCCTTCTATTGCGGAGCTTCCAGAACTGTTTCCACTATTTGTTGATTTATCCTAGGTTTTTGGTGTTCCTTTTGTCACATAACAGTGTCTTCATACAAATGGTCCCCTTTTTAGTGCACATGTGATACATCACCCGTGCGTCGCACTGCGCTATCATCAAATCGGCTCAGTCCAACTTCAGTCGATTCATCATCGGAGGCGAGATCGATCTACCATTCACCAGTGCCATACGGAAAACCTGTGCATCCAGCCAAGGAGGAAAATCTCATGTCTAGATCTACATATCACCGTCGGGAGACATGCAGCAGGCCAATGCAATTCACCGATTCGAGAAACTATAGGCTCCGACCTGCTCGCACTGCTGTATCACGCGACGCATCTCCATGCTCTGTCGCTGCTTCCGCGCCATCTACACCACTCCGTCGCGGGCGATTATCGACGGAGTTTGAGAGCAGCCGACGAAGTTTGCGGCAGCCTTACGTTCATACTCCAACACACTGCTTTCTTGATAGAGGAGGTTCCGGGAGTTTACGATCTCAGAGCACACGGACCACCCGGTGTTGTGGCTTCTTCAAGAACAACACATCAGTGGTATGTTGCCATGCTATTCATCGTACTGCTTAATATTTTTCTGCTTCGTGACCTGAGAGCCTTTTTAGTCTAATGACTGCTTTCGTCACTTTTCTCATATTACGCCTAATCTCCGATATTTTTGAAAGCTGGATTCTTTCATTCCATCACCGTCCCGGTGATCAGGAAAAGCTTCGAGGTCTTACCTATCCGTTCTCCACCAAACACTAGTGAAACAGTCATTTGCCGGCGCTTCGTACCTACATGCATCATTGTTATGTTACATCAATCGCATGGTCTAAAGTATCACAAAAATCAGCGGAGCGTGTTTGGCACTAATTCTCTGTTGTGCGGCGGCTTAGTCTCTTTCGTCATCAATATGATTTCCGTTTGCCGTCACTTCGGATTATTTTATGGGATTTAGTAATTGTCGTGACTAATATTTTCCCTGGCATTGTTTTTATAAGCGCACATGCTGCCAGACCCCAGATTCGCACGTCCCCTCACAGTTCACCACCGAAATACAATCCTCTTTTATTACATGCGGGAGTGGCACCACAACCACTCCCGTCGTTGCTACATCCAAATAGAGGCAAACAATCTATTTTCACTGTTCTTGAAGTTTGTGCACCTGACACAAATGAATCACTACCAAGGCAGGTACACCCCAGCCTTCATGCATCAACCCTATATATTCGACCAGCAATACCAGTGATCCCGACCGACAACACACCCACTTGCTTAACTGCATTAGAGACTACATCTGCCCCTTCACATCTGTATTCACCCACTATATCACAAGTTTGTACCCGTCAATTTGCAATCCTACCAAATGTTCTCAACAGCCCTCCTAACACGCATATACTGCTTTCCCTAATCCATGATCAACGCGAGATCTATTAACTACAAACTTCACTTTCTAAACCTGATTGCAAAGTTGAACACTCCTAGTGCAATCCTCGTCACTGAAACGTGGTGCTCTACTAATACGTTGGATTCAACCTTAGCAATCCCCGACTACCAACTATTTGGTAAAAATCGTTGCACAAGACGTGTGGGCGGATGTATTTTATAAAGATATATACATATATATTTATATATATGATTGGCGGCATCCGGTTTCCGATTTGCCTCTCACTGTGGCAAGCCACAGGACGCCTGCGCCTACAGAGGGACCATGGGTGGCTTGCGCTGCACCACCCACAGCTCCAACCACACACCCCATATCCAGTGTAAACCCGAAGGAATAAGACGGGGAAGCATGCGGATGGGAACCATGTTTCATCAACGAAGCCGGCCCACACTCGTTCACAGGCAAACACAAGCACACTGTATTTGGGAATCAAGCGCCACACAAGGCGGTGGCTGGACCGTAGTCCGCTCCACACTGAGTGCATGGAACCACTCTTCGATCCTAACACGGTCACACGGACCGTGCACCCCGTCCCCTTCAGCAACGACCAACTGTCTCCTGGAGCCAGTATGGACGAGGTAGCGGGTAATAGACAGATAGGCACCTTGTCAACATGCACATCAAGCGCAGCCACACCGGGGATATCAAACAACAGCTAATCATTAGAGAGAGAGAGAGACAAAGAAAATAACTCGAGTAATGCATAAGGAAACGGTGACATAAACCTTAAGTTAATGAGCATATGAAATAAGTTGTTTACAAACGAATCCTAGATAAGTTCACGAGACCAGAAAGTATACTTTACGGAATGCCACGAACACAAAAATGCTACGGAAATCAAATCCAATTGGCTTAAGCGAGGTGTGTAAGTTAATGGAATAGAGAAAGAAACGTATTAAGGCAAAATTGAAAACCCACCACCTGATATAAAGAGACTTAGCATGCAAGCACGCTGTTAGTAAATCGAATGCAGCGTACCTACAAACGCTGCGCCGGTTCTGCCTACGTTCTCTGCAGGACCCGTCGTCGCTTCGGTAGTAGTCCCGAGTGGCCTCGCTCATGGCTCACTAAGCCTGCCTGACTCAGGCACTCGCGACCGCATGTTCTACATCACCATATGCTCGATGTCGGTGGAGTACAACCTATCGGTGCTTGCCGCTTCCGCACTTGCCGCTTCTTCTCTGCATGCATGAGGGCTTTCTCATGCACCCCGGCAAGTGCCTTCGTGATCAGATCGCGCCATGCACGTTGATCAACCGCCTTCGATTCCCATGATCTGCAATCAATATTAGAACGTGTGATTCTCACTTTAATCATGTCCTGGTAACGTAACTTTGGTTTCCCCACGTGCCGCTTCCCAATATTCAGCTGACCATATAATAGCTGCTTCGGTATCCGCGTCGAATTCATACGGCGTATATATATATATATATATATATATATATTGATTGATTGATTGATTGATTGATTGATTGGCGACATCCGTATCCGGATTTGCCTGACATTGTGACTTCCTTGGGGACAACCGCAGGACGCTTGCACCTACAGAGGGACCATGGGTGGTGTGCGCTGCGCCACCCACAGTTCCACCCACACACCCCATATCCGGTGTAAACCCGAAGGAATATGACCCGGAGGCATGTGATGAGAGCCACGTTTCATCAACGGAACCGGCCCACACTCCTTCAACAAGCAGAACAGAAGCATTCCGGCGTAATTGGGAAATCATGCACACCAGACGTACACATGACCGTAGTCCATTCCACACAGGATGGAACCGCTCTTTAAGCCTAGCATCGTCACGAGGACCGTGCACCCCGTCCCCTCCAGCAACGACCAACTGTCTTCTGGAGCCAGTATGGATGAGGTAGTGGGTAATAGACAGGTTGGCACCTTGTCAACATGCACATACAGCGCAGCCACACTGGAGATATCAAGCAACAGCTATTCACTTGAAACGCCACGAGGAAATAAAATAAATCCAATTATGGATACAGATATGGTGGCACAACTCTTCGCTAAATTACCATATGAAGTAATTTGGTTAGCAACGAATCCACAAGTTACTTAAAAATGTTACAAACCCAGCAAAGTAACCGGAAATATGCGCAATTAGCGTAAACAACGTGGCTGTTAATAGAAGATTATTCAGGTAGGCAGAACAAAGTAAATAAAATGGAATGAAATTTATCCAGCTTAAAAGGACCTAGTGTAAGTGTAACTTGGTTTAGCCCAACTGCGATGAAGAAGCATCAAGTATGCAACATCAGCTTCAGCATGGGGCATATACATAATATCATTCATGGCATCGCCTTTATTGTAGTGTACGTTTCCATCAACCTCTTGTAGTTAACCTCTACGATCTACTGCACACTAGTTACCGTTTTATTTCCACTTCTCAGGGGGATTCTCAAGAAACAGCTCTAGTTGCGAGTCGTAAAGCGGACTTCCCATGCTCATCAAATGAAAAAACCTCGGAAGACCACGTACCCCCATCATTCACTAGCAGTCAATCCTCACCACATTTCCCTAGACCACTCACTCCGCGCTCCTTCACGCAGAGTAGATCCTCTGTGGAGTTGATGTCTAGCAGGTGAGCAATATATACTCGCTGTAAGGAAGGTCATGAGGGCCCGTTGTTAGTCTTGTATGAGGCCCCAAACAATTTTGTTCTCCGATTTTTGTCCATTTTGTGCAGTTTTTATAACTTCCCGGCGTTTTTAGTTATATTTTATCTCCCCCCGAAACATTTTTGGTCACCGATATAATCGACCTGCTTACTTCATTTTCATGGTTTTGGTTAATTCCTTCATCTTGTGGATCACTCGCCACTCTCATCTATTTTCCCGATCTAGGAAGCAGTGGCGTTGTACCGTCCTATTTTCTCGACCACCTTTGCACGGCAGCTCGACCGTTCGCGCACGAACTAGCTTGGCGCTTGATAAACTGTAACGGGGAATCGTTGCATGGTAGTATATCATGTAGAAGGTCTTACGTTGCTTCCAGTGGCTAAGGTGCAAATCATGTGAGCGCGATAAAACAGTGTATGGAATAGCGATCTTTTGTGCTGCATTGAGTACTGGCCTGTCTAGGCTGCTTCTGATCGAATCCCTCAATCGCCGTGTGCTCAGTAAGCCCAGACGCAGGCGGCAATTGTTTTGCACAGAGTCACAAATCATTGTAAGGTTAGAGTGCATACTGTTAAGTGTACTGAATCGTGATGGGCCAATGTCACAATGAAGCAGCCAAGATCAACACCGGTGATAGTAACAGAACAGGGGGCAGCGAGTCCGAGTGATCGGGAGTGTAGAACTGAGTAGGTTCAAAAGTAGGCTATGCCGATAGAATTGAACAGTGATGAGATCCCTAAGTTTCACTAGTAAAACCGTTTCACTAGAGAGTTAATCTCCAGAGTTTGAGGGAACTCCAACATAAGGGATGTTAGCCGTCACATACGTGTAAACCTACAGCGAAAGTAGCCGGAGATTCTGACGCATGGTAAAATGCAAAGTATATTAAATACTTTGCATTCTACCATGCGTCCGCAGCACAAAAGATCGCCCGTCCATACACTGTTTTATCGCGCTCACATAATTTGCACCTTAGGCACTGGAAACAACGTAAGATCTTCTACCTGATATGCTACCATGCAACGAATCCCCGTTACGGTTTATCAAGCGCCAATCTAGATCGTGCGCCAACGGTCGAACTGCCGTTCAAAGGTGATCACATCATGAGTCGCCGCGAAACGAACTAATGCTTCAGCGAAAACAGCCTACTCTGCTTATTTGTTTGGTTACGACATCGATAAAGAGGCAGAGCATGTCCCATTACTCATACGAATTCACCTGTAGCTGAAGCGACAAGTATGTCCGGCGCGCTAGCCTAGGTTGTGGTATCGAAATCCATGAACACATCCCTATGTTGTTACGCAGCCGAGTGGGATCTTGACGAAGGAATCGGTTGAATCTGGAAACTCAGCTTCCTCTGCAGATGCGAAACACTTGTTGATCACTGGCCACCGAGTCCAATCCTGATGAGTCGTTCACAATCCTAATGCACGATCAGCGGCCCCACATCATCAGACTACTGGGAGCCATTGTCATCGATCAGGAACGGCTACTATTGTGTGTGTAGAAACAGCTGATTGCGAATCTGAACTTACCATGGCGGGGCTAGCTGCACCGATCAACTAACGATTGGTTGGTTATAAATCTCATATGACCGGGTTTTTCATATCTGTCGCTGGTCGCATGCTTGTAACGGATAAATATGCACGAAATGACAGAGTCATCCTACACTTTACGTCTTTCGACTTTCTAGTCTCCCTGTGTAGTACTTTCAACACTCGTCTTCCTGTCTTTTGCATATTTTCAGTAGAGCCAACTCACAGCGCAGTCCGTGAGTCACACAATCATCCCTATTTGACTGTCGCCCCTGCGTTACATGTTGCCATTGCTTGATAGTGGTGTAATCGGCCGAGCGATGCGCCTCCTTCCTTGTGGCCTCGAACAATGCTTGTTGTCTTGGATGGGCTTTTTACGATAGAGAGTTCGTCCTCTTACCCGTGCTAACTTACGGCCGTTGGAATTTAGTCTGCTCATTGAATACCAGAATTTCGCATGATGCCACAAGAATCTAGTCTCGAGTTGCGAAGTTTTCTTCCATTCTTCTGTCACGTTTGTTTGATTGACGTTTCCCTTCATTAATTTAGTCCTAACCGTTTACTTAAGTTGAGCTATTGCGTTTACTCTTCAATATGCAATTGCTACTGATTGTGTTTGGGAATCTGGCCACCAGCGGTTTGCATCACTTTTGGGTAAAGCCGGTGCTACCATGTGGATCAGGACCGTGGCCATCTTTGCTCATCGGCGGTTCCTTCGTATCGCTCGCATATAGAGGGGACAATGGTTTGATGATGCTGAAATCTACCGGTTGGTTTTCGAGAGGAAACCCTAGTGGCGCATTGGAGTCTGCTAAATTATCTCATGTTCTCCGTATATCCATTGATCACCTCCCTCGATGCACACTATATTCTGCCATTGCATCTAGTTGGATGCATTCACGGGTAACTAGTCACTCATGAAACAAATGAGTAAGATACTTGTTTGGATGAGCACATGTTGACTTTGTGCGTGGAGGCCTCGGGAAGAGAACTCATTTAACATGGCGCAATTGCGGTTACGCACTTTTACGTTCGACTTCTTGCAACTGGCTGTTATCATTCGAACCACCCACTTTTTCCCAACATCTTTCTGTTCGCAACCCATTTGCGTTTTTCTCATCTTCCCCATCATCATAGCAGTTGGATCACTGCACTTCGATGATTGAGTCATAATTGTTTAGACGAATGGAAACGAACTGAAATGGTCGCTGGTGTTCAATGTGTCATGAGACATCCCTTAGGTCGGATTATCGAGGTTTCTTATGGGAAATGTTAAATTTTACGGGTTATCGCTTTTGTGTCTATCCTACTACCCACTCATTACCTACTGCACGCTGTTTTCACAGATACTCATTAACACATTGTTAATTTCAGCCAAACTCCTGACGGCGGTACACTTGCCAGTCACCCAAAGTTGAATGAGTGCGAGATCGATCCCGCGTGCTTCTTCATTGTAAACGCGCACGTGGTGCAAAGAGCAAGCTGGTTTCCTCCGGGGTGCATCTGCGTTTTGTTTGGTTTTATGTTCAACGAAAAGTGTGGTAGTTCCGTGGTATCGTTTCATTCCCTTCCACTCGCGTTACTCATCGAGAGCTCTTGCTCCGTTTCCTATGTCTGTTTCATCTAACTGGGGGGGGGGGGTTGCGTGCACGTTTTTGTTCCTCTTGTTACACGTAAGCTGGGTGCTTAATGCTACATTGGCGGTGCTCATGGTTATTGTGGTTCGGGAATCAGCTTTTTTGTGTACCCACTCTAGACGAATTTGCACAAAGACTTATTTGTCTTGTCATATTATTGTAAACCGTTGTACCCTTCTTCTACCACTCGACAGCTTTTCATCAGTGTCCCATTGCGTGCACCAAATTTCAACACAGGTATTATCTGTTTCGCTGTTCGCTTGTTCTCGGCTTCCACTCTTCTTCATCCTTATTGGTGCGTCTTCTCGTGTTTCATGTTTTCAAAACAGATACTCCTTCGTTTTCTGCCTTTCATTAGGGTACTGATTTGTCTGATGTCTTTTAAAAAGTAATTCACGCTCGATACTCTTTGCTCAATGGTACCGAAGTAGTGGCAAAATTCTGCAGACACCGAATCGATTTTCAGAAAGCTCTTAACAGCTGAGTTTGTGCCGTCGTTGTTTCTTAATTTGCTCAAATCTCTGGACGAATTGCAACCGGGTGCGCACTTTTCTGTCTGTTGTACATTTACCTCTATGACTCCATTCATCATAAAGTTGACAGTCTGCCCCCTCTGGATGTATTTTTGCTATCTCCACACTAGGTGACCACCAGTGTTAAGGCCTAACTCGCTTTTCCCATGATCTAACTCAGCATTGCTACACCATCGGCATTCCTAACTTCATCATAAAGGATAATTCTCCTAGACGGAAACCTCCGATCTCTGATAGCTGCTTGCGTCCACTGCAACAGAATGTCTTGATCTGTACTCCGAGTTGCGCTCTTTTCTTAGCTTATTTCATGCGATCTGGGAACGCTGCCATTCATCATATGCGCAGTTACCATCATTTGTTGCCTGTCCACATTCGGTTTAGATGGGTAGCTCATTAGGCCTAACTAAAATTACTACAAACCGCACTACTGTGAGCGGGCAATATCCAGCTGCTTGTCGAATCGTGTCTCTCTTCTGTAGATAATTCATTGACTGATAATGATATTCTGGTAGTGTAGGCAATTCTTTGGCCTATCTCAATTAACGACATGCTGTTCAGATCGTGCACCGTTTATCAATCAAAAGTTTCTTGTCGTAAGGTTAGCTGTTCCATTCCCATGATTATCCCCTATCAGCCGTAACAACTCTGGATACCACAGAAACCCTCCAGTACAATAATTAATAACTGGATGTTGGTCGCATTCATACATTGTGTGTACCTGTGGTCCCAACTTTGTTTCTCTTTCACGGATTTTACACATTGTTACCGTTTGAATGCTTTTCCGTGAATCAAGATCGAAATCTTGTACCGCGCTATCATTATAGTATATCGGGCAGTCATACTATTTGTTTGTGTCGCATGTGTGCCGCTTTTGTGCTACGGCGCCAATCCGTTATCACCTCGTCAGCCTCTTCTTTACATTTTCATAACACATGTATCATTTCTCATTGGCTTCGTCATGAGACCGGAGCCTACGTTTCTTGCGTTGGTATACTCGCTTCTAGTCAGGATACCGAACTGAGCTATTACCTCGAAAGTCCAGCTACCACCATGTGTCATGTGAGAAAACCCACCGGGTGCATCTCCATTGCACTTCTGTGCAAATCGCTTTTGGGACTGAGTTTGTGACTGGAAAACTACGTGCAGGCTGCTCCTGTATTCTTATCGTCAGTCGACACGAACATGGTGTCCTGTTTAAGAAACCCATGATTGCAAACCCGATGTAATATCGAGAACACGTCCATCCAGAAATCCGAAG